ATAAATGGTTTACCTTACCTCCAATTAGAGAGGAGAATTAAGTAGGATTACCTAACACTGTGGCTCAGGTAAAGACTGTGGCTCGTTAAGACTGTGGCTCAGGTAAAGACTGTGGCTCGTTAAGACTGTGGCTCGTTAAGACTGTGGCTCAGGTAAAGACTGTGGCTCGTTAAGACTGTGGCTCAGGTAAAAACTGTGGCCCCCTCTCATTTTCCTCACTATATACACACACACGCAAACAAGGACACGGAAGAAAACACACACTGCAATCATGGACTCAGGTACAGACAGACGGACGCATGCACGCACACAGGCACGAACAAAACGCACGCAAACTCGAACACAACGCACGCAAACACTCAAACACACAAGTAGGAACACAATTCATGCAAACACGGATACACGGACGGACGCACGGACACAAACAAGCACACAACGCACGCAAACACGGACGGACCCAAACACGCAAACAAACACATACACCTACCCCACTGTGTAAAGACGATAAAATAAACAAATAAAAATAGCTTCACCTTTCAGACATTTTTACTTGTTTGAGGAAAATGGCCGACAATTTCCAGGTCGAGCAATTGACAGTTCAGAAAGTGGAATGACTTGGGTGCTTGTTTATGTCTGTCTCTCTTCGAATCTGTTTCTATCTGTTTTCGTATGTTTCTCTGTCTTCGTGTATATCTGTCTGTCTGTCTGTCTTCGTATCTGTCTCATCTTCATCGATTTTTTGTTTACTTTACTTCTTTCCTTTTCTTACATCCTCCTTCTTCTCTTCTTTGTTTACATTCTCTAGGCATTTCACTCTGAATTCCTACTCTACCTGTGTTAGAGTAGGTTAGTATTGAGTTTGGTTAGGTTAGGTTAGTATTGGGTTTGGTTAGGTTAGAGTTTGGGTTAAGTTAGATTACTTTACATAAGGACTGGTCAGCATAGAAGTAAGTTTAAGTCAATCACCTAACCTAACTACACTTAACCTGACCTAACAATGAAGTACCCATCTCGATCACGTGACTCACCCAAATTCTCCAGTACTCACACAAGAATTCATCCGGTGAGTCACAATGTCCACCCCTTGAGTCACACAGATGATTACTATATCCCAAACGTTCACACGGACAAGTGAAACATTAAGCATAAATACATACATACATAAATATACATATAGTACATACATACACAAAACACTTCTATCCCCCCCCCCCGAATGATACTTACAATGGACGTTTATAACCCAAGGAAGAAGAAGAAAATGAATAAAACACACAGAACACATTGAATAACCACTACCATACATCACACACGTGGGCAGGAACCTCAGCTGATCCTAAGTTACTATTTACTCCTAAAAAAAAATATTGGAAACTTCAAAACAGCCAGGCTACGACTCTTGGATGAGGGAATGGGGGGGGGGGAGATAAAGTCTAAATTAAACCGAAACTATCGTAATTGGATGCGTTGTGGTATTGCAAGTTATGAGTTTATTGTACTTATCGTCGGGCTTGGAAGATCCTAGACACATAGCATCACCCCTCTGGCAACACGTCTGGCAGGCGGGCGGGACAACCTGAGTACAATATCTTTTTTTGTGGTTCTATCTTTAATATTTCATTTTATTTATTCCGCCATTTTCATTATACCATTATTTGATTTATTCCTTCTAGTTAATATCTTCTTCTATAAAAAGGGGGGGGGAGGGGGGCAGGGAGAAGCAGGCTGGGACTTACAACCGACCTCCCTGCTTTAAAACTCAATAATGTACAGTATATCGATAGTGTTCAATAACCGTTCTATAAATCTATCCTCATCTAAAGAAGCTTATGAAAGCCGTTAAATTTTTTCCCAGTAGATATTTTCCTGACTTCACATAACCTTCACTGTACTAGGAAAACCCTTATTAATGATAATCCTGTAATTACTGTGAGAAACAAAAACATTCGTACCAAACATCATCTACTATGGGTCTGGTTAGGGAAGACTGCAGCTTTAACAGGCCCCACCCCGTCTTAATAGGCCCCAATCTTGACCCAACCCTTAGATTCGCGGCCAATTAGAACAGGGGCCCATCAGGATAGGAACCTATTAGATTCGCGGCCCATTAGCATACGGTCACATTCGAACAGGGACCCATTAAGGCAAGGGCCCATTAGTATGGGGGCCCATTATTAAAGGGACCCACTAGTAGTGACCCAATAGACAGGGGCCCATTAGTATAGGGGTCCATTAGTGCAGGGCCCACTAATACAGGCGCCCACTAATACAGGGGCCCACTAATATGGGAGCCCATTAGTACAGGAACCCATTAGCACAGGGGCCCATTAGAACAAGGGTCCACTAGTACAGAGGCCTATAAATACAGGGGCCCACTAATAGAGGTCCATTAGTACATAGGCCCACTAGTACAGGGGCCCAATAGTACAGGGGTCCATTAGTACAGGGGTCCATTAGCACAGGGACCCATTAGTAGAAGGGCCGATTAGAACAAGAGCCCATCGGCATCAGGTCAACAGCCTAGTAATTAAAGTCAGGTTGTGGTGTAATTAGCCCCGGGTCACCCAAACAGGGAGGCGCCTTTAATGAAGACTTCTTTAGGGGATCATTAACTCGGACACACAAGAAGTTTAACCTAACCTAATCCAACCGAACTTAGCCTAGTCAAACCTAACCTAACCAAATTAAATCTAACCTATCCTACTCCTCAACTCCCAATAGCAAATTTATTAATTATTGTACTATCACTACCAATAAATTAATTAGTAGTACACAGTAGGAGAGATTTCAAATATAAGTACTCTTGAGGGCAGCGGTCGTCGTTCACATAGCGTTCAAAATGTCAACAAACTATACAGCAATTACAGCATAAGAACGCCAGAATTCCTTACTTGGCTGCGTTCAGATACGGGAAGAGTTTTTGGCTGTGTATATAATCTAGTCACTTTAGTACACACCATTTCTAACCTAACTTATTTATATATCTTTTTTTTAAGCAAGGAATTTTTTATTTAAATATTTTTAAGATATACAGTATATTCATGAGTAAAGTAACGGTATATTCAAAAGTAACGTAACAATATGTACTTAAGAGTAACGTAACGCAATCAGTTATTTGGCTACTTAGATACACAAAAGATGTTATATAGTTTGGGACTGAGTCTAGCTATACAATATATATCTACAGTTTTCTACACCATTGGGCTAATACTGTAGTGTGAGTTATCTAGCTGGGTCTATGATATCACACACACACACAGCTTTGTAGTGGCGATAACTCAACGCAAGGAGCACTTTACAGGATACTCAGGCGATAACGGGATATCTTTCTCTCGTACCCTGACAGATGAGGTTACAACGAGTCTAACCACACAAAATATGGTGAGGGATAAGGGTTATAAAATATAGCAGAGACTCTACCTGGGATATATTTATTTATTTAGTTTTTTTAAAGTAGGTCTATGGTAATAATTTAATCGAAATAACTTCTAAAAGGGTGGAAATTAATTATGGGACAGAGGAAATTGGTGAAATGAAATAAACCCAACCTAACCTAACCTAGCCTTCGAAAGACACACGACAAGCCCATCCCCTACCACCCCCACCCCTCTCTCATCACCAACAACCTTCCCCCTCCCGCCCACTCACCACCTCATCCCCACCACCTTCCCCCTCCCTCCCTCTCACCACCTCATCTCCACCACTATTTCACCCTGGATGTGATGCACGTCAAGGTGTCAACTTGCAACACAGCCACCCAGACCCAATTGCATGTATTCGATGAGATACATAAACATCTCTCGCATCACAGCGGCGGCTGTGTGTGTGGGGGGAAGGGCAGCTGTAACTGGAACATCTCACCTGAAGATCAGACACCCCAGCTTATTTCACCTGATATTTAACCGCTCTACTGCTAACCTAACCTAATGCTAACCTGACCTAATGCTAACCTAACTTAACCTAACCATGCTTAACCTAACCATGCTTAACCTAATCTAATCTAACCTAACCTCCAGGTGAAATAAGCTGAGAAGGGGATACGGTGTTTAGTCTTCCAGGTGACTCAAGGTGACCCTTATATATTTCTCATTGTAGTTTTTGACCAATCCTTATCAAAATGAGACATACAGAAAAAACAATGCAAAAAAAAAATGCAGTATACACACAACTATTTAAAGTATAGAAACATACGTAAAAGTTCAATATTCCTCGGCTGTAATACACAATGAGTCTATTTTACAGTATGCCAATGGATGCCTGAATGGATCCCAGATTGTCTTTTGTTATAGATGATGTCGATACGTATCAGTCCTGCAGGGGGTGAATGGGACGAAGAAAAACAAAAGAGGAAGAAGAAGTATTGGTGGACACAAATGGATTCAATGTCCTCCAGGTAATATACCCAAATGAAACCCCCCCCCCCACACACACACACACACCTCCATGTTACCCCTAATAATGACAAACTTCACACTAATAGACCTACTAATTTCATGACTCTTTTAGACACACTATTATATAAAGTAAGACAGTACTGTTTGCTTTCTCCTGTACACGCCATGGGAAGGTGTGTGTGTGTGTGTAATAATAATAATAATAATAATAATAATAATAACAATAATAATAATACTAAAATTAACGGTTTATTAAGAAAACATGGCAGCCCGAAGGCTGAAAATATACAATGAACAGAGATGATAAGTTACATATGGTGAAATCGGGGAGTGGGTCACTTGATTGACAAAAGCTTTCAATACATAAACATTGAGTCAACATATAGATTAACTTTAGATCTGGTACTATGGGAGCTGGTCTGTAGACATTCTTGTGACCTGATGTCGGCGCCAACAAAGTCCTTCCCACTGTCTTGATGGCCGTTGTACCTGTGTGTGTGTGTGTGGCCTGGGGGAGGTGAGGCAGGTATATCTGGTAGGGAGAGGTGAGGCAGGTGTATGCAGCGCGTGCAGTAGCAGGTCTGTCTGGGCGCGGCGGACTCCCTCCCCCACAAACCAGGACAACGTTAGGTTCCAGGCCGCCTAGCTGCCAGTTGGCTCTGTGCTCGTGTCCCTCGTGGTCGATCCTCACACCCTCCTGTATCCACACTGGTCCGCCACTCCCTGCACCACCGTACTCTTCTCGCTATCATCACCCACGCCCTACGCCACCCACCCCCACCCTCCCACGACAATGGTCAACTGAAAACTTTCCTAAGTGTGTACATATTACTCGTAACATCTCCAAATTTCATTATAAATCTCCTAAAAAATATACAAAATCTATAAATGTGACCTCTAAAGAAAGACCCGCGGAAATAGTATGCGTGTGGACCAGCCGGCAGTAAAACAAGTGAAAGCTTCTTGTAAACAAAAGGGACGCAGTGTATAAACCCGGGAAGGTGGAGGTCCCCCCCAAAACAGCGCGACACAACACCATCGCTGCCGTTATGGATCACCTTTCGCGGTGAATGTACTGGGATCGTCGACCGTAGTGAGGGCCAAGACACGGTATCCCCTTCATGCAACAGTCAGGTGGGTGCCTCGTGATCAATGCAGGAGACCGACACACATAAATATGTCCTGTCGTTATCCCTTCACATTTGACATTAATCACCCATGATTGTTTCAGTGACAAGAGCTAAGTGCTGTGAGTTTCTTTTCTGAGATTCAGTAGGCAATATTGTATAATCTTTACTTTATTGTTTTCATGTAAATTTTTTTTCTCGAAATTTTACTGTGCCAGTGACGTAAAGAGAAAACGTATTTTAAGGGTGAACTATGAAGATCGCGTATGAATGTGGTCGTCACGCCTACACAGAAACTAGTCGATGATGGTGCACATCCAGCCGGTCAGCTGTTCCCTGTCACCACCATCAGCACACTACACTCCCACCCAAGATACAGCACTGTGCTCTCATCACCTTCCAAACAACTTGAAATCTGTCAATGAACAGGAAAATAGAAAAAACTATGAATTGTGTTTATAGAACACATTATGCTCCTCTAATGAAAAAAATAATGAAGCAGCTTGAAATCCTCAGCGACATAGTTTTGGCGTAATTCTGCAAACTAACTTTGGTGGGACGGAAGCACGTACGGACGGGTGAACATAAACACGTACCTGCAAACGCTATGAAGCAAATGAAACTTATGTAAATCAATAAAAGCAAGGTGTGTATATATATATATATATATATATATATATATATATATAGAGAGAGAGAGAGAGAGAGAGAGAGAGAGAGAGAGAGAGAGAGAGAGAGAGAGAGAGAGAGAGAGTGTAAAATCTCAATAACAAGTAAAACAATATTAAGAAGAGAAATTACACAAATGGTGACAAACAAATTAATCAACAGCCTGGCAGTACATTAGATGAGGCGGTGGAGACCAGTGGTACACCTCACACCCTGGTCTGTGCTACCCAATTTTTCAGTGGGTGGCGGTCGTCGGTGAGCTGGTAACCAAGATCTAGTATTGACCACAACACTCACAATCATATATTCAACTTCTCAGACGACAAAATAACTGGCGCCTTAAATGAACACTTCCGGTATCAACAATAAGTCCGATATGAGTGAATACGGTATTTCACAGGTGTAGTGGAACTTGCTGGTGTGTGTGTGTGTGTGTGGAGTGTTGGGGGCTTGCCTAGCACGGTAACGTATCCACTAACCGTGGCCGCAGTTTGGTTGGATCCACAAGTGATCCAAAACAAAGTCACTACATACCACCACCACTCCTCTCAGATTTATGTATACTTAGAACTGAGAGAAACTGTGGTCATTAAGGTCAGGAAATTGGTTTGAACAGAAGCAGACGTCATGATGAACAAGAACCACTAAGAATACAGCACACCATCATGTTCAAGAATATTCACTTATACAGTAGAGGCTTAACTACGCAACCTCCTTGAAAGTAAATTAAACTACAACATACACCAATTACCCATCTTTCACTAATATACCAAACATCCTGATCTTTAACCTAGCCTAACGCAACAAATCGAGTACTTTCCTGGGACGTGACTTTTCCAGTGAACTATTTAATAATACTCACAAGGATTCCCTACGTTGGCCCCTCCAGAGACACATCACACACAACTGCTAAGACACGGCTCTTCCGGCCATTTCATCACTAACATCACTACGTTAATACATCAATAATACTCGCAGAAGATATGCAGTATTAAGAGAACCAGTAGCAACATATGTCTCTCCATTACAGTCTCCTCATTCTCACCTAACCTAACCAACTTACGGGGCCAATAGTGGAGTTCAAATCTGGCCCGATGCCAATTCTGGAGATAAAGATACATTTGGTGTGTTTATGAACCTCTAGACCCCAGTGACGTGCCAATTCTGAAACCCTGTTAATGTGATTTCAAAATATTGTTTAGGGGTCAGCCCGCGGGTTTAAAGTTGACAAGGTACTGATTTTGGTGCCCCCTAGCCCAATATAGACGTTACTTTACATTACTAAGGCATAAAAAAAACCGCGCCAAATTTGAACCACCTGGGCTGGCCGTTTAACCCAACTTCCGCAATTTAATTATATCGCCAGAAAACTCTTACCAAAAACCGACGTGACCTGAAACATCTACCCGCGGTCGGTCGGCACCCGTGTGAATTATTTACACAGTACACGGAGCAGCAAGTGGAGGAGAGTGGCAAGGTACGATATGAAGTATGTAAGGAGGTTGGCGACCCAAGATCTTTTACCAGAACATGTTGCTTCCTACTGCCATCCTTCCTCCAAAGCCAAGTTAATCCCTCAATGTCTACCCCACCATCCTCTTGGCCTTACGAGAGTTCTACTATACATGAACACCTCTGCTGCCTCCCGCATTGAGGCCTGACGAGAAAACTGGGAAGAGTTAACAATATATATATATATATATATATATATATATATATATATATATATATATATATATATATATATATATATATATATATATATATATATATATATATATATATATATATATATATATATATATATATATACAAGTAAATCACTGTAGGTGCCTGATCTAGGTATATGCTGATAACCACAAGGAAATAAGAAAACACAAGTTCCCAAGCGCTTTCGTGTAATTCACATCTTCAGGGTGAGTCTGTACTCACCCCTGAAGATGTGAATATATATATATATATATATATATATATATATATATATATATATATATATATATATATATATAAGGGCTTTATCAATCTTCTGTGTATGTTTACCTTTATATTTACTCCCTAAGTGGTAATTGGTGTGTAGGGGAGACGATGCTAAAATTGATACTTGAAGAAAAGAGTCGCAGTAAACATATGAAAGTAATATGCCCCCCCAAAATATAAACGGCTACAGCAGGGGTTCTTAACCTGGGGTCCATGGACCCACAAGGGGTCCATGGATGGGCTTCAGGGGGTCCGTGAAGGTCAGATAAAAATTTAACATTTATATTCACTATACTTTGTGTATGTCATACATTGTATGAGGCAATGTATTTTCAATAAAATAAAGTTTAATCATTGCATGCAAAGTTGTGTTAATGTGCTTATGTGCATTTTTCTAGGGAGGGGGTCCATAGCTTTCACCAGATTCTCAAAGGGGTCCGTGACTCAAAAAAGGTTAAGAACCACTGGGCTAGAGGATGTTTATAGCGGATACAAACATTCAAATTTATCGCAGGAATAACTGATTACATAACCGAGGGGGGAGAGTGGTGGTGGTGGGGTAGAACACATACACTGAAATTATTTAGTTTTGAGAGTAACTGTAACTGACAATACAGAATAATGATAATAATTACTTGAGAAAGGGAAATCAACACTTATGGAGGGGGGGGGGCAATCACTGAAAATATACTGAGGGGATGATGTAAATATTTAAATTACAAGAGGCACTGAGAATATAGTGGAGTATTATAAATTTAGGGAAGGCACTAAAAATATGCGATAATACTGAGAATGAAGGAGGGAAGAGGAGATATCTTTAAACGCTGAAATGGGTGATGATGAAGATGCAGTGAAGGAGAAAGAGAGGGTGAGAAAGACGCAGGGAGAGCGAGTGAGAAAGACGCGGGGAGAGCGGGAGAAAGGTGCAGGGAGAGCAGAAGTGAGAAAGACGCATGGAGAGAGGAGGAGAAAGACGAGTGAGAAAGACGCATGGAGAGAGGGAGGAGAAGACGCATGGCGTAAGAGAAGAAAGGGGTGAGAAAGACGCAGGGAGAGGGGAGGAAAGACGCAGAGGGGAGTGAAAGACGCAGGAGAGAGGAAGTGAGAAAGACGCATGGACAGAGGGAGGAGTGAAGAGAAGAGAGGGGAGGAAAGACGCAGGAGAGGGGAGTGAGAAAGACGCAGAGAAGAGAGGGGGTGAAAGACGCAGAGAGAGAGATAGTGAGAAAGACGCAGGGAGAGAGGAAGTGAGAAAGACGCATGGAGAGAGAGGGAGAGGAAGACACGTGGAAGGAGAGAAAAGAGATGAGGAAGAAGCAGGGAATGAGAGAAGGGATGAGAAAGACGCAGGGAGTAGGGAGGGAGTGAGAAAGACGCGTAGGAGGGAGAGGGGGGATATATGCGTACAATACTTAAAAGTCGATAACTGCAATTACACATAAATAAATATCAACTACATTTAGGGAGAGGAGTGCAACAGAAATTATTCGTGTGATAAAAAAAATGGATATTCGACGGAGACGAACAGTAAACTCGTTGCGGTGATTGTAAACTTGAAATTTTTTGCTAGTAACAAACAATCTTTCTGTATCATTAATATTTTCTTGTTAAATGGTAACATACTTATTTTCGTATACATTAATTCCAGAAACCTAGACTGAATATCTTCCTCGAGAGCTGTTCAATAATAATACTTCATAAAAAATTTAAAAGCATTTTTATGAGGTCTGTACATATATTCATGGTCTCAAAGTTACGTTATCGTAAAACAACAAAATATTTGAATAACTTAATTAGAATCTAAAACCACATTCCTATCTGTTCTGCTATGCATTATTCATCTGATAATTATTTCTCCTATAGTCTGCTATAAATATGAACGAAATTAATTATAACACAAGTGAATTCTGGATATATAATAACCATAATTAATTAAAACCTTATTATATTTGCGGAAATACTTTAGTCACGACAAATGGTATAGCAAATAAAACACACACATTTCATAACTCATTCGTAATGCGAATTGAAAACTGACAACAAATAAAATAATTAAATTTATATCTTAGATGCTTCAGAGGGATAAACGACCCTTCTGGATTCTGAACTAATTTTCGAGAATAAGAACAGTAATAATTATAATAAATAGAATGACTACACACACTGCAGTCTTAACGCAGAATTAAGGTCAGACCAAGAGATGATAAACAGCCTTTCTGAGAGTACCCTACAGTATTAATAAAAGTTTCTAATAAGGCTCCTAGCATTATAAAATTGCCCAAATTTATTATAACCATCTTATAAGATTCTAAAAGCGTAGCGGTAAAAATTAGAAATGAAATAAAATCGAGTTCTTAAAAG